AGAGAGAGAGAGAGAGAGAAAGGGAGAAAGAGAGAGAGAGAGAGAGAGAGTGAGAGAGAAAGGGAGAAAGAGAGAGAGAGAGAGATGACGAGAGACCGTTGTTTCGTGCGAACTATCGACCCGCGCCGCGAGATGCGTGCCTACCGGTCACGAACACGGCCGATCCTGCCCGGAGGCTGTTATTTCACCGCCGGCAACAACATCTCCGAATCGTCGAGCCTATCTAATCATTCAAATCGCAGGAGCCCACCTAATCGCTGTATACACGAGGCTACGCAACGCTCCGAGATTCTTTACGCCCCTTTCTACCCTCGAAACCGACCAATAAGTCCAACGAATAATGCTAGATTGGACCACCTGATTGCTCTCTCGGACTTGGCCAACTCGTTTCAAAGCTGAACCGGCAGCTGCGATCGACTAACTTCCGCCGGAAATTCCATCATCCAGGGTCTAGATCATGGAGCTCCTAGGGTGGTACTTCGGGGATGTTGGTCTCGAATCGTCGCGTTAAAGGAATATCAATCTCTCTCTGGTTTTATTGGATTTTTAAGGACGATGCAGGAATATTCATAGTTCTGAATATTTATTATCTTAACAATTTAATAATATTATAATAATAATATTTATTATCTTAACATTATAATAATATTATAATAATAATATTTATTATCTTAATATTATAATAATATTATTATAATAATATTTATTATCTTAATATTATAATAATATTATAATAATATTTATTTATAATCTTAATATTTACATTTTCAGAATATTTATGGTCCTAACTTAGTAATTTTCATCAAAAATGCATAATGTCTGCAATCTAATCATGGCTAATTACTAGATCGCGGATCATTATGCATTTATGGCGTGTGCAAATGTTTCAAACGCGAGGAACAGTGTAAATTAACAACACACTAGCGTTAACACTAACAGCATTATTGCATTCTGTTCCCAATGATTAATTTTGTAGTTGACGAAGAAAATTTTTCGTTGAACATAATTTTTCTAAAATGAATTCTCTCCGAAAATAATAATTTGCATAAAGGTCCGGAGTCTACTAATTACTCTAATCGCATCCAATGAAATCGCATTGAGAATAGAAAAGCACGGATTATTCCGGAAATAGAATGCTTCCCATAAATAACACCTGCAGTTACTTTCCTCCGCAATGGCCATTGGTAAGCCCTTGCTCATCCACCTATTCGGAATGATCCCCTGGTTGCGCTCGGGGATCGCCTAAAAATCAGATCGAACGGTACACTCCGATTCCGTTCGATTCTCTAGAGCTCCACGGTGAAAAGTCCGACTGAATCTCTCGCCGATCTTTAAAAATCGAGGATCGTAACGACACGCTGATTGCCATGCCGCGATTCCCTCTGATCCCCTCTTGGCTCCCTCCTGGTTCCCTCTTGGTTCCCGAGTCCTTCGAGCGGGAATCATCATCGTGCCGATCGTGCGAAACTCGTTACCACGGGCCGTTAGACAAGCGAGGAAAGAAACGAAGTATCGCGGACGTCTTGACGAGAGAATCGCGGAAACGATAACGTCACCGGTCCTCCTTTCAATCCTAATCGCTGCTTGCCAATCGTTCATCCAGTATCAGATTCTGCTTCCTCCACTTACACGCCCATCGTTGTACTCCATTGTTGCATTTCATTGTTGTACTCTATCGTTGCAGACCATCGTTTCAACCTATTGTTGAACTCAATCGTTGTTGCACTTTATTGTTGCACTTCATGGTTGTACTTCATTTTTGTATTCGATTGTTGCATTTCATTGTTGCACTCCATCGTTGCAGTCCATCGTTTCAACCTATTGTTGCAGTCAATCGTTGCACTCTATTGTTGCAGTCAATCGTTGCACTCTATTGTTGCACTCAATCGTTGTACTCCACTGTTGCACTCCATCATTGGACTCCACTGTTGTATTTCATTGTTGTACTGTGAAAAGTAAATGTAAAGTCCATCGTTGCACTTTATTGTTGCACTCTATAGTTTCAGTTCATTTTTGTATTCTATTGTTGCATTTCATTGTTGTACTCCATCGTTTCAGTCCATCGTTTCAACCTATTGTTGCAGTCAATAGTTGCATTCTATTGTTACACTCAATCATTGCACATCATTGTTGCACTCAATCGTTGCATTCTATTGTTGCACTCCATCGTTGCACTTCATTTTTCTACTCCATTGTTGCACTCTATTGTTGCAGTCCATTGTTGAATTTCATTGTTATACTCCATTGTTGCAGTCCTTCGTTGCAATATATTGTTGCAGTCTATCGTTAAAATCTATTGTTGCACTCTAACGTTGCACTCCATCATCAGACCTACAAAACAAAAAATTCTTAAGGTTTTGAGAATCAAATCGCTCCAAATGCTCATTCTTTGCACACTGTCGTATCAATTTATAGTTTTACGACAAACATTTGTGCAGAGAATCTCAAATACTGAAGCTTTAACACCGATTCTGTCGAACCGGTCAAAATAAACTTCTTTTGGGAGACGAAAGATTTAATTAAATACAATTGTTTCATCGTTACAAAACAACACGCAATAGTCACTTTTGAACTCGTTAGAATAGTGGCGCCGGTTATTGTCGGATAACCAATTGCCTCTGGTTTGCTTTCGGACATAATTAATTGTATATTTATCGAATAAAACATGCTAAATTTTTTATTGTAAAAAATAAATAAAATAAAAGAATAAAAAGGTTCAAGGATAAAAAGAACTCAAAAATAAACGAAATAAAAGAATAAAAAGGTTCATGAATAAAGAGGACTTCAAAATAAACGAACCAAAAGAATAGAACTCAAAAATATACAAAACAA